AAACAGATATTAGATTTCATGAAGAGATTTCGAGAGAACTCAATCGGTATCAGTATTGGAGATTGTTTCATACTGTCCAAAGAAACTCCTGTTGAGGTTAAAGTTCTGTTTATATTTTAAAGAATTGTAAATCTAATTGTGTAATTTAAAATTTGTTTTTATTGTAATTTTTCAGGTCTATCATGCATTGTATACTATTTTCAAAATGATGTTACAAATTCGAGATATAATGAAAGGAAAAATTTCACATTGCATTCCAGGAAATGCATTATTACCATATTACAATACCAGCAGTACTGATTAGACAAGGTTTATTCCTTAGTCAGTAACATTATTATGATTAATGACACGAGTATAAGCTAAAATTTCACTTTAATGTACGTGTTTTCTTGGTTTCTGTAGGCAATATATATACAGTACATAGTTATAGATGTAAAGTTTATAGACGGTGTGACCATAATTAGCGTTTTGATATTGAAAGCATTCTGTAACTGTAATCACTATTCGTATTAACACTGAAATTTACATACAGAACAAAAAATTCTCCAAAACAACGTAGTTCAAATTTTTTGTTGAATGAGCAATGCAGCACACATGCACATATTGAGCAACATTCGTTACATCAATATACTGTAACAAATGATAATAAATGCGTGTTTTTTCGTTTGTTTCGTTCAGTTTTCTGTATATCGTCTACTTGCACAAGTTATTGAAGTAAATTTTTTTCTTTGCAAAATGCTTTCCGCATTGTTTGCATTGTTTGTATTTAAATTTTTGAATTAATCCGATTGTTGCTTACAATTATTCAATGCCCTGAATAGAAAAGGTATATTTATGTCAAATGTCTATTACAATTTAATAGTATTTAGAACGTAATTTATATCATAAGCGGATTTAAACGTTGACACTTTAGAAAAGTATTTAAAGTGCATTTCGTTCGAATGTCCAGAATGGTACATCATTTTATACATTATACATTTTATAACATTCGTAAAATTTATCGAATTAACTGAGTTATACTAAGCTTGTTATGGCTCTATCACTTATAAATTATTTATCAACCATTGTGTTTTTGCCATTAATCATCGATAAACACATTATATGCTCGCACGTTGACAGAATGTTTATATATAGAAATGTTATTTTTAAATAAATAATATATCAGGAGGAAACAAATTACAATTGATTTCTATGTTTTGCATATTTCGATCTTGACGTATTTATTGTTTCACATTTGGTAGAAGTTTCAAGGACAATTGTAGAAATATGAATTCTGTATTTTGTTGCAAATAGAAATTTAATGGGAATTGCTAATTTAAAATTTATTGACGGCAATGCTTTTAAAATATGAAGGAACAAAAAAGCGCGATATATCCGAATCCGCGATATAACGAGTGGCTACTATATTGCAGTAAATACAGAAAGTTTTAAAATGTATTTAATTATAACAGAATAAAAAGAAAAAAAACTTTTACTGCTATATTGCTGAGCTTTCCTTTAATGTTTTCGCTTTGTTTTGTTACTATTTCAGTCACTTTTGACTTACTGTTTCTGTATTATAACTTACTTTTCTCACATTTTTACGAAAAATGGTAATATGAGGCCTGCAATTTCATTATCGGCAAAATCTGTACAGAGTTAATAAAGTTTCCGCTCAATCTTTGCTGACCATTCATTACTTGACTCATTAAGTAAAAGTGCGTAAAAAAAAAAAACGTAACCATAATTCGTTATTTACTTACAACGCGGCAACAAACAATATACAGTTAATTGTATATTTACATTTTTTACAAGGTGTTTTGTCTAATATGAAAATAGAGTCGTATTACAGTCTTTCACTGTCTGAGAAATCATTCATATAAATACATAAAGACAGTTGAATTCATCCCTCTTCTGTATGCTCGTATGGAACCGACATTACTATTTCTTAATCCTTGTTACAACTTAATTTAAAATTGTATTTGTATTATAATCATTTTAGAAGAAAGAAGAACATCAAAGAATGTACTAAAGATGCAACTACAATAGACTTTTTATAAATCGGGTTTATATAATATGGATTCGTTTATAACTGCGAAAAAATTGCAATCGTATTCGTATAAAGTCGCTAAAAGAAACTCGTATAATACGGTAAAACGTCATCGCCGACTCGTGTCGCGACAGGAACTAGACCAATAGCAGATATTGCACAAACCGTTGAGTTTAAACGAGCAGCGGACCTACTAAAAACCATTTATTATTTAACGGCCATAAAAATTATATTTACATTAATGATGTCTCCAAAGTTCAGCGAATTTTTCGCAGAAAAATAACTTATCAGAAAACTCGCTTGCCGTTTGGTTGCCTGCTCCGCGACGTAAACAAGCTTAAGCAATGGCGTCATCGAACGTTGCACACTCGGTAAGTAATCCGAAAATTTTTTGTTTAGCATAGTTTATATGGATTATTTCCAAAAAATTATACGTGTTTTGGAAATGTTGAGTCACATTAGTCTAGAATCGGTTAATTTTATGGAAGAAAACCTTTCAAACAGCCGTAATCTCTAAACTGCACAAGTGCCGGGCTCATCTATTTATGTGATCGTATAACACAAATTCATATAAAACGGAACGTATATGCCGTATTATAGGGGAATATACTGTATTACACTACAAATATTTTTGTTTATCCTACATATTAACTCCAGTATTAAATTCTATAAAAGTATTCGGGTTGGATATATACATCCCGTGTGAATGCATGATTCAACAAAATTGAAGAGATAAAATTTCATCATTCTTGTTTAAAATACACAAAAATTTTATTGAAATTAAATTTCTTATGACTGCTGTTTACAGAGACTTTATAATATTTATTGAAATTTCTCTCTGGACCGCAGCTGTTTTCTGCCTTTGCTAAATACACGAGCTTAATGTTTACGCTTTTCGCTTGCTCAATGTTTATAACGATCATTCATTATCGGCAGCAGTTCTATCGTTTTTCTCATCAAACTGTGTTGCTATGCAGTTCATTATGTTGAACAGAAATAAAATTTTCTTTCACTGAGAGAAAAGCACGTATGAATTCAAGTTGTGCGATAAAATATATAGATACACAAAGCCGCATATTTTTGCAAGTTTAGTAATATTTAAGACAATTCCGACCATAATGAGTTATTCGCAGAGCCGGTAACTAGGATTTTGGACGCTTATGGCCAAGAATAAAAATGGCACCTTTTTAATTTTTATTATAAAAAAAAATTATAATTTTAATCTAAAAAATGCTATTATAAAAAATTATCTAATGACATTTAAATACTATATAAATATAAATATAGTTTTTTTGTGTTATTAATTTCAAATACATATTATTCCGAAACCTTATCGTTGGCGCCTTTATTAAACTGGCGCCTATTTCGGCGAGCCACAGTGGGCATACCCTAGTTACAGCTCTGGTTATTCGTATTTTACGGAAATAAAGAAATTACATGGAACAGACACAAAGGCTTTCATTTCGTATGTTTCGCACAATACTCTTTATCTACCAGATTGGCCAGATCCAGTATTTAATTATAGGCTACGTGATGACATTTGACAGAATATGTCGGTGGTGATTCGTGTATCGCTACTCTGATAATATAGGTACTCTAGTGAGGACTATGACGACAAATTTATAACTGACAACCCGAAAAATTACTAGATTCTTTAGTTCGAATTCGATCATACATCTTCAAAAAAGCAAGGGATTCAGCTTGATTCTTCGTCTGTCACTGCTTCATCTTGCACTGGTGTATATAGTTCTGTCACTTTGAATTAATTTCTGTTGTATTACAACAAAAAAACTTAAAAAATGATGTTAAAGTAACACACTTCCTAACAACAACGAACACATCTGTATTTATTAATATCACTTCAAAAATCTGCACGTTTACCATATTAGTAGCATCAATTAACGTAACAAGCAATCCGCCGTGCAAAATTTCAGATATCATCGACAAAAAACACAGCAGTTACTAAGCTTCAAAGAGCCTGAACAAAATCGTGCAACACATATCTACCCTCTGTTATATATAACAGTCGGAAAGGTAAAAATAGTATTTACTGGTACATAATAGAATAAATGATGAATAATAAAGATAAATGGCGAAATATTATTTTAAATCATTACTTTTCTAATTACATTTTAAAATTGAAACACTTACTCATGTTATTTTGCTGCTTATACACTTTACGTATGGTCGCTGTCTTTAATTTGCGTACACAATGGAATGCATATGATAATTCTTCTAGTAAATATTTCATTTAGAAATCATATTTGGATATGTTTAATAAACGTAATAAAACAAAATACACTGAAAACAAAAAGTTTTGTTAGACTGTCGTGTATGCAAAATTATTTAATGATTTATAATATTTTTAATCTGAAGAATAAACATAAACAATTTAATATTTCTGAATTATAATGTCGAAAGCAAAATCAACCTCAATACGTGAAAATCAAATTACGTATTTGGATATGTTTCATGAACATAATAAGAACAAAATACACTAAAAACAATACATATTGATAAAATAATAACACTAATTTAAAACTATTAACAATATTTTGATTTACTGCACAAGACGAATTTATAATTCATGCTTTAAGTTATTACGTAAAAAGAAAATACATCTTCCAGTAAACATATTTTGACATTTTAATGAATTATTCGTAATTTCATTTCGATGTTAGGTCATATAAAATTTTTATTGATTACTCGTAGACTATTATCTCTGTACAACTCTATAGACAAACATAATGTGATATAAAAGTCCCATTCTGGATTCGAGGAGAAATCATTTCAATGTACAAACTCTAAAACCATCGTAAAATATTGATACAAATCGGCATTATACAGTATTATATATTATATAAATTTTCATTGTTCCTTCCACTTATATAACATACGCCATTTTAAGCCATTATAATCATAGAAAATGGAGGAAGACTGCTTGTATTGTATGCTATATCCGTCATACAGAATTGGGCTTATTTTCGGAGATAATTTTGCCGAACGGTGCGATTATCATAGATTAACACTCAGACAAACCAAAATTATGTCTGTGTATGCAAAAATAATAGAAGCACTTCTCTTCAGTCATACGGCAATGCTATGTATTCATACAATTCCTTTCGATGGCGAAATCATGGCATGTAGTCCGATTGAAGATTTTGGTGGACCAGACAACGCACCATTCATGAAAGGAATATTTGCCTGCTTTTCCTTCAGCATGGCATTACTGGCACAAAATGGAAGAAGGATAAACTTGTGTACGATCTCCGAAATTCCGGTTATCGCGGAGAAAAAGAAAAAATCCGCAAGAAACAAAACACAATGCGAAACTTCATTTTAATAATGTATTGCTTCGTTTTGGTTCCCTATGTAATTATATTAAGTTATGCAATTAGCAATGTCGTGGAACGTAAATCGAGTTACGGAAGAGCTCTCGTTTGCGCCGTTTATATTAATGTCTGTTTCATTTACGAATTTGCTCTATGCATGTGGGCGATGTCGGTTATTCATGTGGCGGCATTTGCGATCATCGAAAGATTTAACGTTCTGTCTCGTCGATTGCAACGGCTTTTCTTTAAATGTTCGAAGCGAGATATCCACAATTTAATTTGTAAGCATGTCGAATTGTGCGATTTTATCAAACAGGTCAACGATAAGTGGAACGAATATATGTTTATTGTTTACGGTTCTTTGCTTACTTCGGTGTGCTTTTTCATCTACAACACTGTATTTCCTGATATGTCGCTACCCTTGTATGTCATAATGTGCCTTACCACCATTCTTGCTGTCACTATTGCCATTGTTGCTTCTTTTGTTACATCTCGCTTTTGTATAGCCGTAAGTTTATAATATTAATTACATAATCATACGTATTTATTAATAGATTGTAGAGTATTCATTTATTTTTTTCCATAGGCTTATGACTCGTTTCAAGAAATAAGAATTATGAGTGCATTACCTCTCTCTTTAACAGAAAAGCTTATAATTATATTTTGTTTCAATAAATATTTTTTCATATTTCGAGTTAAATTCACTTTATTATATTTTTAAAAACAGATATTAGATTTCATGAAGAGATTTCGAGAGAACTCTATTGGTTTCAATATTGGAGATTGTTTCATACTCTCTAAAGAAACTCCTGTTGAGGTTAAGCATATTTATATTAATTTATCAATGAAGTTATATTCATATTTTAAGCATTTTAATCGTGTAAATGCAGTTAAAGCATGTAAATAGAATTGCGTATTTTAAATCTAATTTTAAATGTAATTGCGTAATTTTCAATTTGTATTTCGTTTTAATTTTTCAGGTGTATAATGCATTGAATACTATTTTCAAGATGATGTTAGAAATTCGTAATATAATGAAGGGAAAAAGTTCACATTGCATCCCAAGAAATGCATCATTACCATTTTACAACACCGGTAGCATCGATTAGACAAGGTTTATTTCTTAGTGATTAATATCATCATGATTAATAACATTAATCAAGCTAATATTTTACTTTAATGTGCGGCGACAAATCACGGACTGGTGAGACGGCGCCACTCCTCTACGAGTTTCCCGGGAATCCCGGATAGAAAAACGGGAACTGGGTTTTTCCCAGAGAGAGAATTCTGGGTATTGTTGCTTCTTCTTCTTGTCGGGTGATCGCTGCCATGAGCACGTGTAGCTCTCTCTTAAGTGTACTCGAGGATTGTTGTAAATCAATGTTGTTTTAGTTTAAAACGTGGTCGTGGATTTAACTAATTCACGTTTACAGCCTTCTGATAAAGACAGTCTTTGTGGAGATGTAAATGGATGGAAAAGACGTCCAGATTTCGTCTAACCGATGGCGGCCATCCATTACCTCCAAATGTATGTGTTTTGCTGGTTTTCTGTAGGGAATATCTACATATAGATATAGAGAAAAAAAATTTTAATAGTGTTTTCATAGTTAAAGTTTTGTTATTTAGAGCATTCTGTAACTTTAACTAGTATCAGTTTAACACAAAAATTTGCATATAGACTAAGAAAAGGAAGCGAAAAAAATTATAAATGAAAAAATTTAGTGTTTGGGGCTTAATATGATAGAAACGAAACAACACATAGTAAATTGTAAAAACTAATGATACGTCACATTTTAATTTGTTCTACTAATAATTACGACAATAATTGCTTGTTTTCTTTACGTTTACACCCGAGCAATGGAGCATCCATAGAGCCACATTCGTTATATCAAGAAACTATTTGCATGTAACAAATAAAAATTATTGCGTGTTGTTTCGCTTGTATCTTTTGTTTCTAAATTGTCCACTTGCACAAGTTATTGAAGTAAATTTTTTCTTTGCAAATGCTTTTCCTTATTCTATGCGCAGTCGGTAATTTAATTCTTTCATTAATCCGCTTATTGCTTAACTTTATGTAGTGCCATAAATAGAAAAACTATATTTATGTCGAATCGCTATTACAATTTAACAGATCTAAAATATGCGGAGACAAGACGATCGTGCAATCACCGTCTCCTGTCAGGACATTCGACACTAGTTAGACTATTTTTTGCGGTCTATATAATAATTCATAAATGTATATAGAAGGGTTTTTCCTATGCGTAAGGAATGTCGCAGTTCGTGTTTCGTTCGAGACTAATCGACAAGACCATTATAAAACAGTAATATATATAAGAAAACTATTGCAGTAGAATTCTCTATCTGCTTGAGAGAGAATTTACATATCTATTAAATCGTACTACATTAACTGCAAGGCTTGATCTTGATTTCGGATATGCGTCGAAGCGTTGATATATGTAATCAGGAGGAGAATGTAGATCTTGAGGAGCATTCCTCTATGATAACAAGTTACAATATTATTGAGGGAAGACTTTTCTATGGAAATATTTTTATCCAGAGAAGTCCTCCCTTTTCGTACTAGTCGAAAACTTTGTTTCGTGTTGTGTGGAGTGCATCTTCTGTCTTTGTAGATATGTGTCGAACGCTCGGAGAACTCCCGATGACAAAATTATTGCATGTAGTCCTATAGGAAATGTGGATAGAGAAGACAACGCCCTATTCATGAAAGGAATATTCTGAATGTTCTGAAAATTAATATACTGAATTTAAATAAAATTCTATTCGTCATTTTTTACTGTATATATATTACTGTCTCATCTCAGACAATTGCTTGTGCTAAAAAATAGAGTATAATTCTTCAGAAATAATAATTTTTTAATTCTTTATTTACCATCAAACAACAAACACTGTTTAATCCGGCTAAAATTCTGGTAATATAAAAGCGTGTAAAATAATCTGTTTACAAAATCTAGATGCCTTCTGCAGAAATTAATTGCATTTTATTATAAATTTTGTTGCACTTCGATATGTCATTTGCAGAATTGCTTCTTAATGGACATACATTAACTTCATTTTCAATGAATAAATCGTGTAAATTCAGGTATTCGTCATATAACACAATAAATAAGTTTCGAAGAATGCCATGTTATGCGAATTCGTTCTACACAGAACAAAGGATTAATGCAAAATGAAATATACGTTAAACAAGTTAACAAAAATGTACTATTGTTCGTTACTGAAAGAAATGCGCTTATTAAAACAATCGATAATTAATTAACAATCACAATTAACAGTACTGTGACAATGCCAAAGGGTCCCCTCTATGCTTCGGTACCACAGGATCGAAGAATCGATATTGAGTCAACAAAGATTGCAATGACAAATTTATCAGGACTGACACCACTGGTCCTGATAAATTCGAACGTAACGGTCTCCGTGTGTTCTGGGTAGACACAGAGACCGTTACGTTCGAATTTACGCGCGAGCAGTCGCGTCTGTGAGCGGTTGGACTCCAAATAAAGACCAATTAGGCTAAAGAAATGCGCTTTACAATTCGATTATAGAAATTAATATCCGTTTATTGATTACATATGCCTAAACTAGTTACACTTATGCTTTTAGACAGAGAGTTTACAATTGTTCGCGCGTGGTATTTACCTAAAGACCTGTTTTTCGGTGAAGACATGTTCTTGGTAGATACTTGGACTCATCGGCTATCGGCGGTTAAGCTTTTGAACACTGGCTATTGGAGGAGCATCGGCGGTCAAATGTATCCGAGTGTACACACACACACTACCAACCTTCGAGGACGCAAACTCTTCTGTCGGGCGAACTCTCTGTCGCGTCATCAAAACATCTCCTTTATTTGGGGGTCCTCGCAATTCTCGCAAATCCAATAAGATTTATTATTTTAAACTGGCCCGTATTCGGGTTTTGGATGCGTGAAGAAAACTCTACGAGATCAGATCGTTGGTCAAACACACACGTGAGACCAACTGCGAGTGCAGAGTAAGTTATATCTATTTTGCTATTGGTGGGATTTTATGAAGGAACCGGCTACAATGAATAATAATATTTTTAAAAAAATAACATTGTCAAAAAAGTTTTTAAAAGAATTCGTTTGTAAGTTATCAACAATACATGGCGCTATATCCAATCTATTGTTTATAAATTAAAACTTTTACGTTTACGTATTACAGCGTTTTTAACTTTTAAAAATATAAAAGTTTAGAAAGGATGATTTTCTGTTATATAAATACAGAGGTTCGTTGCTACTCTACAGTTGTAATGATTGCAACGATCCATATACAGGTAGGCTTCCTACAACGCGATTCCTTTACAACGTGTATTCGCTCCAGCGTGGTTAAAAAAATGCGGAAATTTTCTTACAACGCGGTTTACGGTATTTAGAAACGAATTATCTTTACATAACAGAAAAATCGCAACGGATCACGTGATACGAACCGCAGTCCGAGAGCATCTATCATGTAAAAAATGGAACAAGCGCTAATATTATAGGTAGAAGATATGAACAAGAAACGGTTGCCTTTAAATAAAACTGCACATAAACACAAAGCCTTAAAAATATTTGATTATTTAAAACAAATGGGACAGTCGTCAGCTGCAGTGGCGTAGCGTGGGTGTCAGCCGCCCGGGGCAGAAACAAATTTCGCTGCCCATCTATTTAGGTATCTCAATTTAACGATACAATAATCTTCGTTATGCTTGACAACGACGAAAATTCAACGCGAAGCGACACGCAACGGAAAAAAATTTCAACATGGAATAGGTTAATATATTTTTTCGTATATAATCGGTTATCCGAAAGATCGGATTTCCCAACAACCTTAGTCCCCAATTGATTCGGATAAGCGACGCTCTACTGTAATTCTGTTTTTGTTGATAAAATTTGAATATCCAGTTGAGTTAAAAATAAAAGAAAACCGAAAAATTGTAAGAAATTTATTAATTAAATAATTTTGTCCTTAAATTTTAAATGTAAAGTTTAAGTATTTGTTTTATTGTTTATAGAATATACAAAAATACCTGCTGAGGAGAGACAAATATGTCCAAAACGCAAAATTATGTATGTGTCCAGGTATATGGAATAAAATAAAAATTGTTTTCTGTTAAACTTTGTAGCATTATCTGTAAAGCCAGTATAAGTCCTGATAATGGAAGATACGAATTTATAGTCGAAAATTTATATTTGAATTTTTTTATAAATTAACTCTATTTGACGATTTTTTCCGCAAAGACGTTACTTAATCATAAAAATCGCTGGTCGTCGACTCCATCAACGAGTTTAAAAGCTCTTTTTCTTTTTTTTTATTGAGAGCAATGCTGTCGACGACAATTCTTTCTTTAACCGAGTGTTCCTGGCCAATGTATGAATTTGCTTCGTGGTTGAAAACTGCGCTCAACACTAATAGACAGTACGTAAAAATTAATGATATTATATCATATAATTCTTTGAGTACATCTTTGTTCGGATCGTCATTAATTACAATACTTTTTATGTCTAAGAGTTACTTGATAAATATTGCGATTCGCTACGTAATTTAGATAAATCAAAAAATTTCCCATAAAATTTACTTAATTTCAAGAGTAAAAACTCGCTTGAAACAATTGTTTTTCGTAATATTTCAATTTATTAACATGTAAAAGTAATAGAAATTTTAAGGAATTTATTTATAAAACTTTGTCAATATACTTATAATTAAATAAAATTATAATTGTATATAGCTTTGAAAAGAAACGTACATAAAAATAACATTAGCGAGGTTGACGCCGAGGTTTTCAACGCAAAAACGTGTACGTTTTTGCGTTGAACGTTTGGAACGTCAATAGAACATGTTTCACGTTCCAAACGCCATTGTAAAACTTCTAAGCGAATAGGAATATGGCGCTGAACGACCGACGTACACGTTTTCGCGTTGAAAACGTCAGCTGCAACCTCTCTAATATAAGCTTTATTTTCTGTTTACAATAAATGAAAGAAATACCCTCTCTTGCTGCAAAACACCTAATTTTAAGTGTTTTCTTTTATCTTCCTGCCAACTCCTACTCTAGTTAACTCTGCGATAAAATGTAAGATCGTATTTTTATTGAATTTTGTATTATTTTATAATTTTTTGCAAGATTATGATTATTACTATACCATGTTTCAAATCTCATATTCAAGAAACCTCTCTGTACAGAAACCCTTTGATAGTAATTTTTCACGAGAATTTTTATAGATTTTCAAAAAGCGTGAACAAAAATTGTGCCACACACATATGTACCCTCTGTTATATATAACAGTCAGGAAAGAAAAAATAGTATTTATGTAATTGTAAAAATTATGAATAATAGAGACAAATGGCGACATATTAATTTATAACATTTCTGTTCTAATTACGTTTTTAAATTGGAATACTTACTCTTGTTATTTTTCCTCTTATACACTTTACGTATGGTCACTGTGTTTAATTCGCGTACTGAATTGAAGAGAAGTGCTGATCGTTCGTCATTTTTTTTAAATAGAATTACATCTTTCTCATTTCATTTTATAATATTAATTAAAATGAAATTAACGACAATATATATTAAACTCGAGTTATTATTTTATTAAAACTATCGACAAAATATTGATTTACTGCACGAGCCGAGTTTATAATTCGTGATTTAAGTTATTACGTAAAAGGAAAATATGTCTTTCAATAGACATATTTTAAAAGATAAATAAACCATTTATAATTTCATTTTAATGTTTAGGCCATAATAAAATATTTACTGCTTATTCATAATCTATAATTATGCATATAAATCTTTATAGACAAACTTACTCTGATTCATTTCAATGTACAAACAATAAGACGATCGTAAAATATTAATGTATATCAGCATTATATAAGTGATGCATATTTATCCGTTATACAGAATTGGGCTAATTTTCGGAAAGAATTTGGCTGAATGTTGCAGACATCATCTATTACCACCCAGAAAAACCAAAATTATGTCTGTTTATGGAAAAATAATAGAAACAATTATCTTCTGTCATACGGCAATAATATGTATTTACATATTTACATTCGTAGACAGGATATTGAAGATTTGGGTGGACTAGAAAATGTACTATTCATGAAGGAAATATTTCTTCGCTTTTCGTATGGCTTTGGCGATACAAAATGGAAGAAGAGCTAAACTGTATTCGATCTCCGAATTTCCGGTTATCGCGAAGAAACAAAAAATCCGCAATAATTAAACTATGATGCGTAATAGACTTTTAATATAAATTAACAACAATATATATTTATAAATGAAAAATACTAATTTAAATCTAACAACAAAATTTTAATTTACCGCACGAATTAAATGTATCATTTAAGATATTACGTAAAAGAAGAATATGTCTTCCAATATTCTGATGTTTCGATGATTTATGCATCATTTTATTTCAATGTTCCTGCCGTAATAAAATTGTATTGCTTATCGATTATCTATTATCTTGCAAGTAGAACTTTATAGACAAACTTACTCTGATATAACAGTCTCAATGTAAACTCCAGGAGAAATCGTTTCAATTTATAAACAGTAAAACGATCGTATAATATTAATATATATTGGCATTACATGTGTAATGCGTATTCTATCAATTTGTATTGTCCTTTTGATTTCTGTAACATAGGCAATTTTAAGCCATTTTATAATAGAAAATGGAGGAAAACTGCATGTATTGCATGCTTTATCCGTCTTACAGAATTGGGCTAATTTTCGGTGATAATTTCGCCGAACGATGCGAAAAACATCGATTATCTCCCACACAAACCAAAATTATGTCTATTTACGGAAAAATAATAGAAGCAATTCTCTTCAGTCATACGGCAATGATATGTATTCACACAATTTCTCCCGATAACGAAATCATCGCATGTAGTCCTACGGAAGATTTGTATGAAAGAGACAACGCTCCGTTCATGAAGGGAATATTTGCCTGCATTTCCTTCAGCATGGCATTAATGGCGCAAAATGGAAGAAGAGCTAAACTTGTATTCGATCTGCCAAATTCCGGTTATCCCGGAGAAGTAGAAAAAATCCGAAAAAATCAAATCATAATGCGAAATATACTGTTAATAATGTATTGTTTCACTTTGGTTCCCTTTGTATTTCTAACAAGTTATGTAATAAGTAATGTCGTGGAACGAAAATCGAGTTACGAAAGAGCTCTTTTCTGCGCCGTATATTTCAATGTCTGCTTCATTTACGAATATGCTCTATGCATGTGGATGTTGTCGATTCTTCATGTGGCGGGATTTGCGATTATGGAAAGATTTAACGTTCTGTCTCGTCAATTGCAACGGCTACTCGTTAAATGTTCGAAGCGAGATATCCACAATTTAATTGGTAAGCATGTCGAATTGTGCGATTTTTTCAATCAGGTCAACGATAAGTGGAACGAATATGTTTTTCTCGTTTACGGTATTTTGTTGAGTTTAGTATGTTTTTTCATCTACAACACTGTATTTTTTGAAATGTCAGTTCTCCTGCACGGTATCATGTGCATGGCCACTATTCTTGCTGTCACTATTGCTATTGTTGGCTCTTTTACTGGTTCTCTCGTTTCTGGATCCGTAAGTTAATGGTATTTATTACATAAACATAAGTATTTATTAATAGTTTTTAATGTTTTCGTTTATTTTTTATATTCCTTAGGCTTATGACTCGTTTCAAGAAATAAGAATTATCAGCGCATTACCACTCTCTATAACAGAGAAGCTTAAAGTATTACAACGATATTATATATTTTTATAATTATTCTGTTCATTTTTCGAGATAAATTTATTTTATTATATTTTTTATAAACAGATATTAGATTTCATGAAGAGATTTCGAGAGAACTCAATCGGTGCCAGTATTGGAGGTTGTTTTATACTGTCCAAAGGAACTCCTGTTGAGGTTAAAGTTTTTTTTTGTATTTTAAAGCATTGTAAATCTAATTGTTTAATTTAAAATTTGTTTTTTATTTTAATTTTTCAGGTCTATCATGCATTGTGTGCTATTTTCAAAATGATGTTACAAATACGAGATATAATGAAAGGAAAAATTTCACATTGCATTCCAGGAAATGCATTATTACCATCTTACAATACCAGCAGTACTGATTAGACAAGGTTTATTCGTTAGTGAGTAACATGATTATGAGCTAAAATTTCAGTTTCATGTACGTGTTTTCTTGGTTTCTGTCGGTAATATCTATACATAGATACAGATGTAAAGTTTATAGACAGTGTGGCCATAATTAGCGTTTTGATATTGATAGTATTCTGTAACTGTAACCACTATTCGTATTAACACTGAAATTTTCACAAAGACTATAAGAAGAATGCATTAAAAACTCTCCAAAAAAAATGTAGTTAAAAATTTCTGTTGAAGTGCTTAACACGAAAATACACGAAACGAAATACACTAAATAGTGAAGACAAATTTTACGTCATATTTTAATTTGTTATATTAAAGATAACAAGAAAAGTCAGTTGTTCATTTTTTTACGTTTTACACATGAACAATAGATAACACATTGAGCAACATTCCTTACATCAATAATCTTCTTCGTAAAACAAATTAATACATTTTTTTATTTTGTTTCATGCATGAAAAGTATTTAGCGTTATAACACAGTAACACATTTTTAAAGTATTCCATTTAATGGAAAGTCATTTTAAAGTTTTCTTAAATTTTTGTACGATTGGGGGTTACCCTTTAATTCATTGCGCACATAATATTTTCTGTTCACCATGGTATCGTTGGTGCCCATTAAGATATAACTTTCAAAATTAAAAAGTAAACAAAATGAAAGTACAAGAAGAGCCTCGAAAACTCGGCACTCCGGATAACTCGGCCACACCTTGGCAGGGCAAAAAAAATCCTAAGTTAATTAATTTTCATTATAGACAGCTTTATGCCTCATAAAGTATTTTTCTGAGGTCTATCTTATCAGGTAAATTACTGTACAGTGTATTTATTAATTTTTATTTTCATGTAGTGTAGGCTCTATGCCTTCATGACATACTTTTCTTTTGTTTAAGGGTATTTGGGCAGTCTATTCTCTGTTGTATTCTCAAGCAAACAATACATACAAGTACAATATAATATTTTCTGAGGAAACACGCACACTTATCCTTTTTGATTCCATTTCCGATAACCCGGCATTTCCACAAACTCGGCCACCCTTCGGTCCACATTAGGCCAAGTTTTCAAGGCTCTGCTGTATTATTAATAGTATAATTAGATGTAAAACGAAACGCAATATAAGTAACATTTTTTCAGAAAGAACAATGGATTTCAGAATAACGATAGTAAACATTTGGTAGTATCCAGGATTAAAACCCAAAACGATATCTAAATGATTTGAAGAACAAAAATCCAAAAACATTTGATTTTTGCTTGTAGAAATTGGTCAGATGTCGTTATACGTAATTAAATTAACGAATTTATTTACGTGTCCTGACGACGACGGATCTAAAGGAGAGTTGCTGTTTTAGATTGAGATTGATTGGCTTGCTGGTTCACGGCATTCCTTATAAGGGAAAGAGAATGAGAAGAAAGAGGCAATCTTTTCTTCCAGAATACAAGTTCTGCTGGTCCGCTAAATTTATCTATATTTTTAATGTAATGTTCTGAGTCATAAATTGTCACTTTCGCCTGATAAAGATACCGGACTGAATCGAAAAAAAACTCTGATCAACTTTGAAATTTACTGAGGTATAATNCATAAAGAAGCATAATAGTTTATGTGTACAAATATTAAAATGTCCAATTTCTCTGAATGGCTGTATATATCCTGCAGTTCTTTTAGTTTTCGTCTCACGTCTTCAAAGGCAACTTTTTGTTCTATAATAAAGTAGATTCTCTTCAACTGTTGAGGAAATTTCACACAATTTATGGGACTGTCAACGGTAACGAAATATTTTGTTTTTGAAAATAGAAGTTTTCTGTTAGCATCGTTTTTAATTTCGTTAAAACTTTCTAATAAATGCGTCAAAGGCTGAACATCCTCGTTGAGAATGCTCAGAAGTTGATCGGGAATCGGCTTATCGTCCAGCAAACCAAAATAAAATAAAGTGATGTTATTGCTCTCTGGAAATTTTATGGAAGGAAAGTAATAATCGGCACCAGAAAATTCTTGAATAGGAATTCTGATTGAGTGACTCAAACTGAAAGCAATAACGAATTCGCGAAATGTTTCGTGAAGAAATTTATAGTAGCATTCACAATCCTCATTAACGTCATAACATCGAACTACTATATTTATACCAAGAAGAAATTTACGATCTTTCTCATCAGTAAAACTTTGCATGAATTCAGAAACACTAATATTTTTATTATGCTCTTTGAGTCTTTCCACATAATCAATCTCATCGTCACTTTCTCTTTTGGCTACACTCAGTTCCTTTTCATAAATTGTTTTCCCCAATTTCACTAAAAGATCTTCACCATAGAAATATTTTCCTCTCTTCAAATAGCTGAATTCTTCATTGTTTCTCACATATCCTTCGATTTTAGATTTGAACAATCGGATGAATAAATCAGTCTTCGTCTTGATGTCTTCTACTCGCTCGTCTCGGTATAAACAGCACAGTGCGTGGAGTAACATCGGACATTCGGCCAATTGTGCATAAAAGCAGTTGTTCTTCAAAAGATTAAGAAGATTCCGTGCTCGATCGTTCTTTTGCTTAAAAACCAAATTCACGAACATCTCCTCTTCTACAGTTGAAAACTGATCAATAGAGACAACCAAGTTCATATTTTCCTCAAATTGAATTTGGGGAATACAAATTCCTGATCCGAAACGATCGTTAGGTAGATCTAATAACCTATTTCTCATAACAAGTAAACTGTCATCCACCATCTTACCACGAACAGTGAGAAGAATCATCATTTTTTTAGAAATGGCTTGAGAATCTGATGTGATGAAGTTAATAACGGATTGTTGAAAGCTACACTCGTCAAATCCGTCTAAAATAATAAAAAATGTCAAGTTTGCGTGTTTAATTTTCTCTCTCTCATCCGAGTCCTCTGTTCCACTAACCTTACTTAAGATTAAATTATTCAAATCTGTTTCTTCTTCCTTCCCCAGTTCAATAAACACGACAAAATCAAACTGTTTTAGGTAATTGTCTGGTTGAACAGCTGTAGCCCAATCGTAAGCTAACTTCTTGCAAAGTGTTGTTTTACCAAAACCACAATCTCCTCTTAAAAGAATAGTTACGCGACTGTCGAAGTTAATCGAGAAAATCTGTTTTAATTCTACACCGTCTCCTTTATCTCCTATTTGTAAAAATTCTCCTTTCAGAATATCTAAATTGGAAAAATGTTCCTGTAAAGGAAAACCGTTTTTGTTTTCACTCGATAACCAAGAATCAACACAAGCATAATTCTTCTTATAGAACTCCACCATATTCTCTCGATACTTCATGATTAAATCTGAAATAATAAAACACAGGATAAAAGTAAGTTTTAGCTACTAAGTTTAATTTTCCTTTATGATAATTCCTCTTCTGTTAAATATTTAAATAATTACCTTTGCTTTTATTACTGGAACTTTGACTTAAAGATTCAGACCCAACTGCACTCATATTGATTTTGTGTAGTGACTGTTGAAATAATAATAATAATATTATTATTATTAAATCATTATCTTACAATTAGAAAAACAATAAATATTCTAAATTATAATTATTGTATATTGAAATTGCAAATAATGCAATCTGACTTACAAATGATAATTCGCCCCCCTCTCAACAGAGAAAGAAAACATGTCAGATTGTTTAGTTAGAATAAAACTTTGTTATATAAATGCTGTATATCCAGGAAAACTATGGAGAGAGTGATGAATTACTTATCACCAAGAAGATGCAAGAAAGGACAGTCTTGCATAACAGGAGAAGGGCAATGGAAATAATGAAAACGAGTAGAAGATAGCACTTAGAAGAACCCATATGCACAACGGAGGAATAGATTACAAGTAAACCAACTATATACTTTTTACAGACACGAAAAAAATCATAATAAACTAAGCGGATGTCGTGGGTCAGGCACGTATCTAAAACTAACTATTGTGTTCAGTACCACGTGGAAACTGGTGGAAAAAATGAAAATAAAATAGTAAGTATTTATAGTTATTTATAACATCAAAAAGTAATTAAATAATTCTGACATTTCTCTTATTCCTCCTCTTGAACAATTCGAAAATAGTTAAGGATCCAACAGTTCCGAAAACCAATGGCTCCCCATAGACCAGTAGTTTTCAATGAGAGACCATAAAAAAATATAAAATAGAGAAACCATTGTTATTATTTGTATCCTGAAGGCAACTTTGACCCGTCAGTGCAGGGTCAAAGTTGAGAGCCAGTATGCTGAGTACAGTTAATTTTTTTCTGATATTTAAAATATAAAACTCTTCTACTATTCTGTGACATTATAAATACGATTTAAATACTTCTCACCAATTTTATTCTCTTCTATATACATCCAGCAGAAATAAATAAACTGGTAAATATATCAAGTAGCAGCTGATACACTAAAGAGACAATGGACTGCTTCTTATGCAGATAAAATAATGAAATGTTAAAAATATTGACAGGATATAGTTATCATATATACTATAACTGTATCCTGTAAAGTCACAGTTGCGAGCTTTTATACTTTCCCCGTTATTATAAACAACAGAGGCGATCAGTTAGAAAGTTCCCCCCTAAAATTTTTTGTTCACCCTTTTTGAAGCTTAATAACTCCTGTGCTTTTTGTCCAAAATTTCTGAAATTTGGCAGGGAAGTTTCTTCATTAGGGGGATTGATGCTATTAAATTTTGGTGGAGAAAGATCGAGGGGTGGAGGAATAATTGGAGTCTTGTTTATCTTAGGGTCGGATTTAATGACGATTTTACTCGTTACAAGCATTTACACTTTTTTTTAAAATAAAATCCATCCCTACCCGGAAAATTAAGTTTTTTGTTTTTCTATTTTATAATAGCTTAAAACATAAGTTCTTTTAATACAATATAAAAACAGATAGCGCCAGAAACTTTTAAATGTTGCCGGGAAAGTTGAGCAACTCGTTGATGGTTTATTTACTATTACTTTTAAGTTCGGCTTACAAGGAAGTGGGTTCACTAATCTTTCTATACGTAACTTCATTTTGTTCCGCATTAATCTTTATACAAATAATAATTCTATTATTAAAAGGGTTAAACAAAAGTTTACAATTAATACATTAATTATGCATTTATTCCCTATTTTGCTTTCGTAGGAGACCTGACTAGAAGACTTGTCCTAACAGATAGATAATTTTGGCGGCGACGCGCTTAAAACGGCTACAATCTCATCGGATTATTTACCAACTATGCACCCCATAGCGTAACCTTGTTTTCATCGCGGAGTAGCACGTTTAAGGCGGAGACTTACAAATCGTATCACGTGACCTCGGTGACGTGTTTCCGTCAACCGCTATGTAGAAAAAACCAAGCACAGGCAGATGCCGATATCTGCCCCCACCAGTGGGCGAGTGGTCTACGTTGCCGCTCATCGTAGTGGTGACCAGACCCTAAAGACTGGGAGGTTCGTCGTGGGTTCGCGCCACGGTCGGACAGGCTGGCTGCTTGGAGTTTTCCGGGTTTTCTCCTTGCCTATAACGACTGAATAGGAGGCCAGTTCCCCATAAAAGTCCTCCCGGAAGGCATTTATTTCCCGCGCGTACGTATGGCTGTTCGATACAGCCGGCTAATCGGTCGCCTAGCNTTAGTCCTGAATGTAGACCAGTAAAATTTGTGATCAAATTGTTACATGCTTTTGCATTATGAGTAGCATGAGAGTTTTTAACTTATTTAAAGGTTATATTTAGTTACTCATGTTATATGCCTTTCTATTTCTATTATTCGGAGCTTTGGGAGTTTGCTCTACAACTCTTTCAATGCTTCCTTGTTTACTATTTGATTTACATATGCATATTGTTATAGTATTGACATTTCTTTTCACTGAATCATCATAATTCATAAATAGTTCATTTGCAAAAGGAAAGTAATATAAAATTTTATAATTCTGTATAACAATTTAATAAGGGTCCAATATGTATTTACATTCAGATCTATCCTTAAGAAATATGACTTCTGACTGGGACTATTGAAAGATAAACAATAATTATATATTTTTTTCTATCCACTCTGTTTAATATGGTTACAAATAACTGTATCTTGTCAATCTTTATATTTTTCTAAATGGACTTGTAATTTTTATCATTATTAAGTGTAGAAATTCCAGTACTAGCAAACAGGTAGTTTGAATAAAGTTTTGAAAAGATCCTTTGTTTCTTTATAGAGATATTTCAGTTAGAATTCCAGAATTTGTCTGCTTTTATAGCCTGATAATGTTATAAAATTAAGTTTTGGAATGGAGTAATGAGATAAGACAATGCAAACATGTGGGTAATCTGTCATATGTGAGATGCCTTCTGAATTGACTTTTAATGGGAATTGGTCTACACTGTATTTATGTATTAGACACACAAAGAAAATCCTGAAAACACCAGAAAATTGGCAAATTGTTCAGGCACAAACCTACTACCAAATGCCAACATTCAATGGCCTTCTTTATTCAGCTTGTAGAGGCAAAATTTAAGTTTAGAACAATAATGTTATTAAGTAGATATCAAGTTACAGCATTAGGAAGTGAGCTTCAGAGGAAAATATGCAGGGAAGAAACTCATGATTCTTATAATTGGCCCTGCATAATTTTTAGATAAATTATTTGATAGGAAACTTTCTGTCTATAACTTTACTATTTCTTCTGATATATCAATTCTAATGTGAAAATATTTCTGTAATTTTTATTACTTAATCTTTCATAATTCTCTATTAAATAAGAAAAGAAATTTGTGTAAATGCTCTGTAGAATTATTCAGGAATAGGATTTACATTAGCCATTATTATTATTTAGATACGAAAAATTTTTTTAACCATTCTTTCTTGAAACAAACTATTAAATAATTTGCATTTAGTGTATAAATGAGTATTCATTGAAGAATTTATTTAATGCTATTAATGCATTCCAGTATTCACTACACTAATTGAATAACTTGTAATTAGGAAATATATTTAACAGGAAAAGAATTTGTTTGAAAAAAGTGTTTTCACTTAAAAATAATTAGAAATAACTTAACAATTAATCATAAACACTATAAAAAAAAACTACACGAGGATGAAATGAAATGCTATAAAATCTAATTTTTTAAATATATTTACTAAAAGAGCAAAAAAATTATTAAATATTGATAAAACATATACTTAAAATTTACAAAAATAGAAGAAATTTTAGAAGTGTTTTCAGTTTCATCACTTTTCACCCCTCAGAAACATAGCGAAGTCTTACCATAGAGTTAAACCTTTATTTTGAGATTTTCATCTGCCTCAATATAAAAATCTTGTTTAAAAACTTTTCTACTGAACTTATTCTATGAATATAAACTTCAGGGAAAGTAGAATATTCCAAAACTAAATCAATCAAGGATACCTTAAGCTTAAATGGAATATAATCTTTCAATCTGTTTATGCTTTTGTTTCTGATGATGATACAGCTGTTTCTTGATAGTCCGACGTTTTGTAATCCGACATGCTCAGTAGTCCGACGAACCTCCCGTCAAGGTACCTGTCCCCGTTATGTGTCTGCTTGCACAGAAGCATGTCGCAATGTGAATCTCCCCACCCAATTCTTACACGATGACACACATTTTGTTTGTTTTCCGTGAGCAGTTCTGTTCGAACAGTTGGAGTAGAGAATATTGTNTACCGGTTAAGTAATAATCACCATCCATATTTTTTCTAATGTCACAACTCCTGCGTTTCTCATAGTCCATGTAAGTCTCATGTATGTTCTTTTACAATTTTATAACATTATTGTAAAAAATTTTTTACTAATTTGTACCCGTTATGCTAATTTTTCCTGCATAGTTGTAACACGAGTTGAAAAGGGATAGAATTATCCGAAATGCATTCTCAAATAAATAAAAAATTTTTCTAAAGTTTGTTTTCCATTTCATTGATGGTGTAATAAGTCTAGTGAAAAAGAAAAGCCGTCTTAGAGCTCGTATATTTGTACACAAGACTAGACAAGAAGCATATCGCATAATATTTTTTGTTTTTCTTTCTACAGAAAAAGCAAAATAATTCAATACCGAGTATATTATCAAAGATTATTTTATATAAGAAAGATCAAAACAAATATAAAATCATAAAGTTTAGTAGGATTGTCTCTCTCATATTCTAATGAGTATAACATAGCTACAGGTGTGACTATTATGTAATATTTCTTTAAAATATCCTCTTCTCTAAATAACTACAATGAAATTTTCTTTCAATTTTATTTCATCTTGTATAATATCATATTTTATATATACATATATATTATAATATTGCCAAATTATATTAAAAATAATTGAAATAATGGCAAAATATATATAATATTGTAATATAAAATATGATAATACTATCTGCATATCTGAGTAGGTGGGGTTTGGTCAAATTTGGTTGGACAATTTGATAAAAAGAATGGTTTTAATAACTAAAATGTAAATGTAGTTAACTGAGTATTTACAATAATGAAAA